ATCACAAACTGGTACTTTATCTATATATGAAATGTAGGTAGAATCCAATACAGAAACAAATTAATTTCAGTCCACCTTATCCTCTAATTTTAATTTTGCACATGAAGCATTATTTTCTTTAATATATTGAGTCCTTAGGACAGTAGGTGTCACTATTCTCACCTCTCATAAATGACGATTGCTGTGTCAAAAGTGATAACTTTCAGTCCAAAGTCTTTTTTTATTGTTTAAAAACAATAAACCAGTGTTTCATTCTTGAATAATAAACTCTGAAAAAAATCTGAAATAAAATATCAGCGATACTAGAATTATTTTTAAATATATGTATGAAAAACTGTATTTAAAATCTTAAGACTGATAAGGTTAGAATTAGCAACCTGTTCCTGTCAATTTATATTTTACAACATCTTGCATGGCTTGGGTATATAGATACTTGTCTTATTTGTCTCCTAACCTTTCCCTAATTCATAATGTATAGTTGACTAATTTTATCAGATTCCTATTACTTCACAAAGTAATAGAAATTAAGCTACAGACAAAAATAATGCTTTAAAGAAAAAATGTTCTTTTAGCAGATGAATTACAGGGCGCACAATCAGAAACTGAGACTAAACAGGAAATTCAGCAACTGCACCATGAACTGATTGAAGCCCAAGAGCTAGCTAGGACCAGTAAACAAAAATGCTTTGAATTGCAAGGTGAGATGAAGAGTCCTTTGAGCTGGAGAATTCCCAGGAAAACATTGTACCCCAATACAGTGATTGAAGAGGGCATTTAAGTCTGTGATCTGTTCCTTTTTAATCTAGTATATGATTATACCATACTTTTAGCCATGTGGGGAAAGGCTGCTATTTTATCAGCACTTAATTGGGAATAAGAACTCAGAAGAACTTAATTCAGAATGTATAGTAGTACCTTTTGGTTTAAGTTTTCAATAAATGTTTAGCTTAAGCAATTAAAATGGAATCAGTCTTTTTCCTTGTAGTCAGTTTTTTCTTCAAAGTACAATGATGATATGAATGTATTAAAAAGTGCATGATATTTTAAACAATTTTAGACAAAGTTTATTAACTAGCACGGTAATAACTTAAATATGGTAATGTACTTACATTGATTATGACAAAATTGTAATGACATACTAAACTAAGTAATCTGTTTAAAAACTAATGCCTAATATATACTGTAAAAGTGATAGTGAAAGTCATAATAATTTCATAATGGAAGTTATAATAAAATGGTATATTGAGTATTTTCATAATACCTACTACAGCTCTGTTGGAAGATGAGAGAAAAGCATATCGATTGCAAGCTGAAGAGTCCACCAAACAAATCCAAGTTCTCCAAGGTAAAAAAAAAGAATCTTCAAATATATAATAGAAAAATGTATATGTTGTTATTGAAAAGAACAGAAACTATAATAATTTTCCATTCAAAATTATTTAAGTAGAATTAAATGTCTGTTGCTAAAATGGTTTGCAAAATCATGTACTATCAGTGACAGGACATAAAAATGTGAGATGGACAGCAAAATAAATAAATGAATAAGTAACTAAATACTTAAATGAACACAAATACTTTTTAAGGATGTTTCAAATGAATGATTGTCTTGAGACTCTTTATTCTCTATAGATTATCATTTAAGAACAATAAAATACACATTACAAATATAAACATTTGCTTTCCTTAAGTAGCAGCTGCTCATTTACTTTAATAATTATATATAAGCTGCAGGAGATTGGTTACTGTGGAAGCAAACAAAAGTGCTATTTAAATAGATAAACATAACTATAAAGAAGGAAGCTTTGCAACAGTTGGTATGGCTTTCTTGAAGTACAGGACAAGGTTATACTATAAGTACCCAAGTTGACTTCAACCATACTGTCTTTCCAGTGCATTCTGATTATCTCTTGCCATTCACCAGAATTTTGAGAAGCTGGATTAACTTTCTTTTTTCCTATATTGTCTAGGAGTATACTGTATACTAAAATAGATTTCAAGAAACAGATCTAAATTTAGAGAGGTGTTGTGATAAATGTATAAGCTTAATATGATGGTAAAAAATCCACTCAAAAGGTGCCTCCTATATTGATATTTTTGTAATTTTGTCTAAATATTTCAAATATAATAATGAGGGACTCATAAACCTTTGTAAACTTTGTGTTATAATATTGTAATGTAATGCAAACATTTCTTTTACCTTATACAGTAGCATTACTTTCATAAACATATTTTAGTTATATTTGAATGAACTGAATTTATATACTTCAAATTTTAAGATGATATAATTTCTAATGTTTATAGCTCAGTTGCATCAATTACAAAAAGATATTGAACGTCTTCATGAAGAAAAGGAAAATGTGATATCCAGTACACGGAATGAATTGTTGAGCACTCAGAATGAAATCCTGTTGTTGCAAGATGTGGCAGAAAAGGCCGCATCAGAAAGGGATACAGATGTCACTATTTTACAAGAAGAGCTTCAAAAAGTAAGAGCTGAACTTGAACAATGGCGCAAAGAGGCTTCCAAATATGAAAAAGAAATTGTCAGTCTTCAAGCCAGTTTTCAGCTACGATGTCAGCAATATGAGAATCAGCAGAGAGAGGAAGCCACCCATTTACAAGGTATAACAACTGTCTTAATAATAATTTGTATAAAAGTGGGCTTGGGGGCTACATTGCTTTTTCATTAACAAAAATTAGGTTAATTACAGAAATTGAGATAGAGTAAATAAACATTTGAATTTTAGTTACATCGTAGTAATATTGATTAATAACTTGATGAACTTTAAAGTTTGATACAGTAAACAATTTCTTTAGTCCTCAACTGTGATGATGCAACATGTAATTTGAGAGATTTCTACTGTTCAGAAAGATTTAGAAATTTGAATAAAATTGGGGGAAATTTGGTTTAAGTTTACCTTTAAGACTTGGAAGCTTATTTGGTGATGCCAGGCCAGTCAATAAAATGTCCCATATTTCTTATATATGTCTTGACAGTAATCCATGCCATAAGCTCACTGCAGTGGATAACTATGTTATACATTTTAATTATCTCTTGTAAAGTTATAGAACAATAGAAAAAATGAGTTTTTAAGTCTAATTTTTAAATGATCTGTTCATTGTGTTATGATGATGTTTTCTAAAAGTTCATTCTTTCTATCAAATTCTAAAGATTATTACATTGTAAGACTTTATCAGGATCTTTTAATGCCCTTTTAAAATCAAATCATTCAGTTTAGATTGATATTATGGAAGAACAAGCAGTGATTAATTTAAAAATGTTGTGGCACTTCTTGTGTGAAAGGTTTCAAATAAGGATGTACACAATTTACTAATTCTCCAGATTGTCCCTTAGAAGTATGCTAAAACTATTCTGAACCAATGCTGTTCTGGAGATAGTTTGGTAGTTTCTGGAAACAAATTCTTTGGAAAAGAAGCAATTTGATATGTTTTGGACATGGCATTCTGGACAAAACAGACCTATTTTGGTCTGAATTACCCATGGAATATGTGGAACTATTTTTCATTTTTAGGATTTAATTCTGGAAATTGCTGAGCCTCCCAAATCCAAAGGAGAAACAGACAGTTCCAGAATTCTCCAGAATGTTCATTCCCAAATCAGTGGGCTTTACACATTACTAATTTCAAGTGTTTTGTTTAAAAAAGCTCAGCCCACAAACACTGATTTGAAAAACCAGTTTTTAATCCAAGGCATATACATTCACATATAATAAATCTTTTAAAATAATTATTTCTAAGCTAGCTTCAAGAATGTTATAGCATTCTTTGCTTTGTAGGTGAGCTTGAAAAGTTAAGAAAAAAATGGACTGTTCTTGAATCTGAATGTCTCTCATTAAAGAAGGAGAATTCTTTGCTTGCATGCGAACTTCAGCGACAGGAGAAGGAGCTGAATAAGTAAGTGCCACTGAATCAAATGGGAAAAGGCCTAAGATGTTAAATTTAAAACAGTGTCTCGTGAGTTATGGGTTAGTTCTTATAGATTTAATTCTATTTCTTCTGAATGTTACAGTTCCTCTAAATCTTTCCTCTTATTAATTGACCTGTTTTAGCTACAATTCTCTTCCTACTCATCCACCTCAACGAGCTATTAAAAAGAAGTATAATTATGTAGGACCAATATGCCTTCTATGCTGGGAAATATATAAATGGTGCCCATATAATTCGTATAATTTCGTATAAGCTTTGCTTTACTTAACATTATGAAAATAAGCCTCCCAAGCTCACTCATTTTCCTTCTGTTTTTTCCCCAGTATAATTAACATTATAGCTATGGTTATTTTTACCTTTATTGTTACAACAAATGAACTTTATAAACTTTAGATTTTAAATGTTGGGATCTGCTTGGTTGGGTTTTGGTTATAAACTGATTGGAAAATATTTGCTTATGCTGTTGCTGCAAAACAATACATGTACATAGAAGCCTGTACATCAGAACTTTAATTATAAGGATATGCAGTAGAATAATATTATGATTACAAAGAGAATACATTCACAATGCATTAGTTTAAAACCCTTATTTCTAAATATGAAGTATTGTGATTTTTTTAACTTCCTTTTATAGCTCTCAGCAACAGAGTTTAGCACTTACCAGTGATCTGAGTGTTCTGGAGATAAGCCGAAAGGAACTTGAAAATAAAATGGGTTCTTTAAAAGAAGAACATCAGCGTGATGCAATTACTCTAAAAACACTTCTTAATGAGGCAGAAAATCAAGCTAAGGATGCTCAGAATGAGGTAAGCTTCAAACTTACATGGATGTTTGCATTTCTTTAAAGAGGCTTAGAGTTTGGATACTATTTTGTTCTCCTAACATAGGCCCTTTTATTAGATAAATTTGAATGAAGTGGCTCAATGGAATGGAGATCAAACTTATTTCTCTCCTCATCTCCCAGTACTTCTTTGAGCAAGAGATTTGAAACTTTTGCTTCAATATTCAGTTAAACAGAATTGTTTATTTCATTAAACAGAGGAATATAGCAAGTGCCTGGGTTATTCAGGGCAGTAAAATATACACCGTTTTAAAAATGATAATATTCTATTTTATATAAAATGGTTGGACATAAAGCATGGGTGGCTGCATTAAATATATTAAACAACTAAGGTGGAATCATGTATTCTTGGTCACTCTTGCTTCATTAAGTATTTAATATAGTCTTAAATTTGTTTTACTTTTTCATACACTGGTCTTAATTCTTTCAGAAACAAACTCAACTTTCCATTTGGCTGGTGTGTTTCCCTCCTACTAATTGGCCAAGTTTTCCATCTCTCAGNTTGTTGTTGGGGGCAATATGCTGACTCTGTAAACCGCTTAGAGAGGGCTGAAAGCCCTATGAAGCGGTATATAAGTCTAACTGCTATTGCTAATCATCTTTGTTGCCCTTCTCTGTACTCTTTCTAGAGTCTCCACATCTTTTTTACATTGTGGCGACCAAAATCATATGCAGTATTCTAAGTGTGGCCTTACTAAGGCATTAGAAAGTGGTATTAACACTTCACATGATCTTCTTCTATCCCTCTGTTTATGCAGCCTAGAACTGTGTTGGCTTTTTTGGCAGCTGCAGCACACTGCTGGAGTTAGTAGACACATGTATAATATGTTAGTAGGCACTTCACTGCTGCTTGATTTTGTCTTGTTGTTTCAACATTTCATATAATTGATGTGAAGCTTTTGTGATAGAATTTATTATAAGAAAAAAATGAGTTTGCTGAACAGCATTATGGAACATTTAATATTTTTCTAATCAAACTTCCTTTCTCTTTACTGATGTCAATTTTGGTCAATTGTAATGGCTTCTTTAAACCTTAAAGCTCATTATACAAATATGAAAACTTGTAGATGAATCAAGGGATATAGTTAATAGTTTACTAAGATACTAATGGACAAAGAATAGATTTCCTATCAGTGTCTTGTTAAAGCATTTCATTTTAAATTGCTGTGTTGTCTGTAACATTATATGTAATGTATCAACTTATTGTTACTTCATCCACTTAAGTGTTACAAAGCAGCATTTATTCATAATTGTAGCTCTTTTCTTTTCAAGGTTACAATATAGACACTGTTTTAAAATCCCTTTCCTTTGTCCTGCTTTCTTGTTTTATACTCAGTACTAGTAAATAAAACAACAAATTTCTCAGTGGATTTCAGTTCGCCAAAGTACAAATTTCAGACACAAGGTTAAGCAACGAATGAACCAACTTCATCCTGCATGGGTTTGTTTAATATTAAATGTATGTTCTGAAAACATTTTACCCAGTTCGAAGAGGAATTTAATCCATGTTAGAATTTATGCTGAAAGTACAGTATCCATATAGTTATACATTTATTTGAATGGAACTAGTGTTTATATTTTACAGAAAATCAGGCAAAAGCTAAAGAAGCTGAACTTTCAGATACTTTGAGCCCAATCAAAGAGAAAAGCAGCGACGACACTACAGGTATGGTTGTGGCATATCTTTCAGTGAACTTGGATTACAGTGACAAATTGTAATGACATTAAAAAAAAAATTAATAAAAAAATAATTTAAAACAACTTCTTAATTTATTTTTTGTCCTGTGCTGAGTTTCTAATTGATTTAAAAGTATACTTCAAATTCTAAAATAATTTCACTTTTTTAGATGCTCAGATGGATGATCATGAATTAAATGAACCTATCGCTAAAGTTGCTCTCTTAAAAGGTAAATCGTTATTTTCTTAATATTTAATGTATTTCAAATAGCAAATAATTTAATATTGGAATTAATATTCGTTGGAAACATGGATTGAAAATTTATTTTTGTTCTCTGTGATTTGCTTTTGATGATTTGCTAAATCACAAACTGGTACTTTATCTATATATGAAATGTAGGTAGAATCCAATACAGAAACAAATTAATTTCAGTCCACCTTATCCTCTAATTTTAATT